ATTATAGAAACGCTTCATCAATCTATAGAAGCTGTTTCTGCCGATGTGACAGAAAGAAAAATGATTCTGTAAATCATTATAATCAGAAACTGTCTCCAAAAAATATCAAATTATTCAAAATATTGAGAATATTTTACATGAATTAGAACGTTTCTCATTAAGTCATTTGTTTTGAGATACTGGATCCTTTTTTCCATATCAAGCCAATGTAAATTAGGCGGTATAATATTATTTTAATATCCACTAAATGTGAGTAAAGTTACTCAAAATCTCCTGAAGGAATCAAAGATGTGAGGATTAAGTCAATACAGGATATTGATTTTATTTTGTCAACCTGTAACTGTTAAATTGCTCTTTTTTTAAATATATTGTAATTTTTTTTAATTGTGTGTCTGTATAAAGTAATAATATTTATTAATTAGTCAATGTTGGAACAAGACATTAAAATATTCATTATCATGCCATAATGTTTATATATTGATGATGTCTGCACACGGTGATAAATGTGTTAATTGATAATTAAAACATATTTTCTTCACTTCCAGAGTGTTGAAATACTTCGACCTCCTCTCAGCCGTCTACAGACTCCAGGTTTGAGCTGAAGTTGATATAAATTAAAAATAGGTTGAAATAATCTCACTGTGTTGAAGTAAAAAAGGCTTTTAGGACTTAATTATTTATAGAAATGTCTCTTTATGATTGAGGTTTTTACTCAAACTTTAATTAATAATCCTAAAACATAAATAGAGCTTAACCTTTTTCCTACAAGAGACCAGTTTTATATAATTCAGTAAACTGGCTCTAGTGACATATGGTATGTATATTTTATATTATATTAAAAACTGAACAATGAAATCAAACAGTGAACTCAGTAACTGCAGGAAGTTTGTGTAAAATGAGATTTGGATGAATTTTGAGCAGATTATTCCCTGTTTAGGGAACTTTTCATACAATTCTCTGGCTGTATTATGTATTTTTAATCATTTCAAACAATCATACTTGACTTAATCTGCTTCTTTTTTGACAAATTCAGTGTTTTCTTGTCTGATTGTTCTGTTTACTCATGGGAACACTACCGATTTTGTCCACAGGGGGCGCCCGAATCAACATGTAAAGTTCCTTGTAGCTGCTTTAAAAGTCCAGTGTTTAACATTTTGGAGGATCTATTGGCAGTAATAGAATAGAATATTTAGGTTTTCATTAGTGTATAANNGAAATGTAATATAATATTCACAGGTATGTTTTTATTAGTGTCCTCCCTCACATCTGGAAGGGGAGGGTGAAGAGAAGGAGCTGCAATTTGCAACTAAAACGCCAGATACTAAACTAATATAAATATATAACAACAGGATTAAAGACTGGTTGTGTCGTTCAGTGTTTCTCAAATGGGGGTTCGCCATACAATACATACAATTAACAATTAAGAATTTTAAATGTAAGTTTAATAAACCACATTTGACTGCAGTTGATCCTCAGTGAGTTTCTTCCATAAATGAAGGCAAAAAAAACTACAAAAATATCCCCCATTTGATGTTAACCTGTAGTTCTTCCTGTAGTTGCGAGCTCACCACGAGCTCAGGGTCGAGGATGAAATCAGCACGTGTTCGGCGGACGCTGTATATCTTGGATTCTCGCCACCTAATGAGATTATTTCTGCCACCACGGAGACGCAAACAACCCCCGTGGTCGACCGGCGTCAGGAGATGTGACTGTTGAGCTCGGCATTAATCAGGTTTTTAGTTTAATTTGAGTTGTTTCCCTCAGTTGAGAACTATACTTTCATGATCAACAGAAGTTAATCTCTGTGCTGCAGAAGGACAAACACACTCGGTGTCTGATACACTTTTACTCCAGCAGATGTCAGTCTTACTCCATTGTGAACATTTGGTCTGCTGTCAATGTTTGATTTATGTCTCAAATTAAAAAATGTTCAGATCCATTACACCAATTAAAACCCATCAGAAAGCGTCAGTGCCACATTAATCAAAGACCGGTTCAACTAAAAACCACATTTCTGACTTAAATACAGTTAAAACAAGGATGAAAATGAACTCAAAAGCTGTTGAACTCAGTTTCTCAGACATATTTTCAGATTCACTGTCATTTTTTTCTGTCTTTGTGGTCATTTTATGTCTTTTTGTTGTCAATTTGTGTCTTTTTGTAGTCAATTTGTGTTTTTTTGTGGTCATTTTATGTCTTTTTGTGGTCATTTTATGTATTT